CGCTGAAAGTGACAGTTTTATAAGATATTGTACAAGATTTCAAGCTTCCCCTATTACTGACATCACAGAATCAGTTTTGAATATAAAACTAGAAAGTGTGAACAATCTCTGGGCTCGCCTTCTGGCAGCGTACGATACAGTACTAGATACTGACNAACAATCTCTGGGCTCGCCTTCTGGCAGCGTACGATACAGTACTAGATACTGACGACGCAGAACTCCCAGAAAACGCAAAAGCTTCGGCGACAGCCAAGTGTRATAACTGCCGCGATCAGTATGAGTTAACAAAGGGAATGATAAATGAACAAATAAGTTTGGTAAGGCCAAGTAGGCCAACTACTCCCCCTCCCAGAGTAGTTACAACACCAACAGAAAACCTAGATAAGGGCATGTATCTAAAAGTACCAGCTTGTGATACTAAAGTTTTTAATGGATGTTATGATCAATGGCCGTCCTTCCGTCACATGTTCACTGCCGTTTATATAAACCATCCTAAACTCTCACAAGCACAAAAGTTATAACATCTAAGGTACAAAACAAAAGGGGAAGCAGGCAGTATCGTCAAGCGATTCGCTGTAAATGACGAAAATTTTAAGCTGGCTTGGGAAGCACTGGTCGAAAGATACGAAAATGGAAGGGTTATGATAGAAAACCCAATAAAAACATTATTACATCTACCAGATATTCAAAAAGAAACCAGCCAGGAATTTCAAAATTTATACTCGACAGTGACTAATTGGTGTTAACAACACAAAATATCTCCACAGAAGCGTGGGACCCCATCATAGTAACTATTTGTGCAGAAACACTCTCTGATGCTGCGTTACTACGATGGGACAATCACTTGTGGAAAGGAAAAAAATGCCCACATGGTAGCAAATGAAAACATTCCTCACTGCTCAATACGAGATAGCTGAGCGAATTGACAACAAGAATATAAATCTAAAAAGTCATCAAAATGACCCAAGTAAAAACTTGTTAAAGCCTCAAGCCAGCAATAATATGCAATACAATAGACACGTTAAGAAAAGTCACACTTTCGTAATTTGTAAAGGAGAGAAATTTAAAAAACTTTCCGTTTCTGACAGGAACAATCTTGTCAGACAACATAAACTTTGCATCAACTGTCTGTCCAATTCTCACGGGACAAAAGACTGTGAAAGCAAATTTAATTGTGTGTACTATCAACGAAGACATCACTCATTGCTTCATATTACAAATTTTCAAAAAATTAAGCAAAGTCAATTTCATAAATCCACCGGGTTAGTCACTACAACCAAAAGTGGTAACCCCGAAATCTCAAATCCCGAAAAAAAGGTAGAACAACCATGTTGCTCTAAAGCAGCAAAAATTCAAGCTCTTCATTCAGAGAATGAAAGCAAAATTCTTTTACCCACTGCGGTCATCGCTATTGAACATAGAGGAGAATTATTCAAGTTAAGAGCATTAATAGATCAAGGTTCTCAAAGATCCTTTATATCATCAATGGGTCAAAATCGGCTCAAATTGCCAATAAAACATTCAAATTTCCAAATTTCGGGAATGGGTGGAAGAATTATCCAAAATTCGAACAAAATATGCCCAATTACCATAGTATCTCTAAATGCGGATATTAGAATAGATGCGCAAGCCATCGTTCTACCGCAACTTACAAATTTGCTTCCAAGCTATGAAGTAAATAAGATACACTGGGAAAAATGCTCACATCTCAAATTAGCAGATCCCAATTGTCATACTCCATCACAAATC